GGCTTAGGCTTTGGGCTTTTGTAGAGTTTAGGGTTCAGGATTGGGGTTTCGGGTTTAGTAAGGGGTTTTGGGGTTTTGGTGCAGGGTTTGGGGTTTTGGGGTGTAGGGTTTGGTATTTTAGGTGTTTTCGATTTTCGGATCTTTGCCCCATGTATGGGACAGGCGACATGACAAGAGTAAAGCGGCTGCACTCAGGGCACCGACACAGTTCGGATCTGGGTTTGGGGTTATAGGGGTTATGGGGTTCATAGGGTTCAGGGTTTCGGGTTTTTGGGGTTTGGGGTTCACCGGGTTGTTAGCGCGTTTATAGGGTTTATAGGGTTTACAGGTTTATAGGCTTTATAGGGTTTACAGGGTTTATAGGGTTTAGAGGGTTTAAAGGGCTTGCATACGTGGCTGCGCCAACCCAGGTCCGGAGAAGCATCAATGCGACTCTACAAAGGGTTTAGCGTTTAGGGTTTAGGGTTTAGGGTTTAGGGTTTAGAGTTTAGAGTTTAGGGTTTAGGGTTTAGGGTTTAGAGTTTAGGCAAAGAGCTGATCCGAACTCCAACGCGCGGGACCAGGACCTCAAAACCCTGCACCCTCAACCTTAATCTCTAAACCCTAAACACTTCCAAACTGTACAGGCATCCCTAAACCCTAAACCCTAAACCCTAAGCCCTAAACCCTAAACCCTAAACCCTAAACCCTAAACTCTAAACCCTAAACCCTAAACCCTAAACCCTAACCCTAAACCCTAAACCCTAAAAACCCTAAAACCCTAACTATACAGCCTATCGCCCTGACAAGCTTCTGTACGACCCCCCCCCCCCCCCCTCCTCCTGCCCAGGTTCTTGGATCCCGGCACCTCGCGAACGCAGGACTGGAAGCTTGTGGGGTTTTAGGGTTTAGGGTTTAGGGTTTAGGGTTTAGGGTTTAGGGTTTAGGGTTTAGTCTAGGGTTGTCTGGTGGAACGGTTCTAAACCCTTAAACCCCGAAATCCGAAGCCCTAAACCCTAAACCCTGCTCATTGTCCTACACCCGTAAACCTCCGAAACCCCGAAACCCTTAAACTCCAAACCCTAAACCCTGCTTATCGTCCTAAACCCCTCGTGAGGGTTTAGCGTTTAGGGTTTAGGGTTTAGTCTCGTGTTGTCTGGTGGAACGGTTCTCTACCCTTAAAACCCCGAAACCCGAAACCCTAAACCTTAAACCCTGCTCATTGTCCTAAACCCGTAAACCCCTGAACCCTAAACCCTTCTCATTGTCCTAAACCCTAAACCCCGAAACCCCGAAACCCTTAAACTCCAAATCCTAAACCCTGCTTGTTGTCCTAAACCCCCTGTGGGGGTTTAGGGTTTAGGGTTTAGGGTTTAGGGTTTAGGGTTTAGGGTTCAGAAGGGTTTAGGTCATGAACATGACCACATACGACATCGCCTGACATCGCATTGCAGCGCAGAACTTTGTTCTCCGCGCGGCAGGCTTAGGGTTTAGGGTTCAGGGTTTAGGGTTTAGGGTTTAGGGTTTGGGGTGTATGATGCAGCCATGGCCGACCCATCAAATGCCTTGCGCCGGTCTCTGACCATCCGACTTGCAGGCAACAAGTCAGAGCTCACTGCTGTAGCCCTAAACCCTAAACCCCTAAACCCGTAAGAGTTGAACCCCGCAGGGTGGGCGATTCGATGCTTTTAGGGTTTAGGGTTAGCGGCGAAAGGCTTTGGGTTTAGGGCTTAGGGCTTAGGGCGTAGGGCTTAGGGCGTAGGCTTTAGGGTTTAGGCATGCCCTCCAACCCCCGAGCCCCCCTAAACCCAGAACACCTTAACCCTCAAACCCCCAGACCCTCCTAAACATGGAACCCGAAACACCCTAAACCCGAAACCCTAAACCCGAAACTCTAAACCCTAAACCCTAAACCCGAAACCCTAAACCCTAAACCCCTCTGGAGGAGGAAGGCTCCAGTGGGGCCGCCAGGGGCCCAAACAAGTTTTCGTGCAGGGTTACCTCATGGGTTCCCCTACATACCCCCCCCCTCTCTTCTACCTAAACCCTAACCTAAACCCCCCCTGGGCACCCCCCTTAAATGACATTTATTAGGCTTAATTATCCCTATAGTAGCCTTAATTCTGGGGGAACCTAGGGGTAGTATAGAGGGGGTAGTAGGGGCACCCGCCGTCGTCCAACCCCAACAGTTTAGTGCTTAGGAATGAAACTTTCAGCCGAAACCGAAAAATCCGAAAACCCTGAATCCCTAAAACCCGAAAAGCCTAAAACCCCCCAAGAGTCCCAAGGGCTTATAACCTTGTAAATAATCATAAAGGGACCACAATGACATAGTATTAGCAATTAAGCCCTAAACCCTAAACCCTCGCCTTGGGCAGTTGAGGGGGTTCAAGGTGTGCTCTGATGACGGTTTCGATTTTGGGGGGTTTATATCGGGTTTAGGGTCCAGGGCTTAGGGTTTAGGAATTGTACCCTCTATATCGCCATTCAACATCCTTGGCTGTGATCGGATGGATCACCGTTGAAAATCTCTAGAATCATGGCTGCCATCTCTACGCCCCAAACACACGAAGCCCTCTGCTGTCCGCGAATCCCCACTTGACTAGGGTTTAGGGTTTAGGGTTTAGGGTTTAGGGTTGAGGGTTGAGGGTTGAGGGTTCCTAAACCCCTTAAAGGAGCCCTAAACCCTCAACCCCCGAAAATGAAGCCCCGGACCTCAGAACCCGGGATTTCCCAAAACCCAAACCTAAACCCTCAGCCCTAAGCGATACTTCGGGGTACGAAATGGGGATCGCAAGCCGTAAACCCTAAACCCAAACCCCTAAACCCCTAAACCCCAAACCGCAAACCCTAAACCCTAAACCTTTCAACCTTTAAACCTTTTTCACCTTCAAACCTTCAAGCCTTTAAACCGTTAACCCTTTAAACCTTTAAAATCTTCAAACATTTAAAACCCAGAACCCTCGAACTTGCTACTTCAGAACGCCCCCCCCCCCCCCCCCCCCCCCCCCCCCCCGCCCCCTCCCCCAAAACCCCAAAACCCCAAAACCCTAAAACCCTAAAACCCTATAACCCTATAACCCTAAACCCTAACACCCTTAACCCTAAAACCCTATAACGCTAAAACCCTAAACCCTGAAACCCTAAAACGCTAAAACCATAAACCCTAAAACGCTAAAGCCCTAAACCCCAAACCAAAAACCTAAAACCTAAAACCCTAGACCCCCCTCTGCCGAGTCCAGCCAACAGCCTGGGCCCGGAGGATCAAATAACCTGGTGGCTCAGCTGGATCTGGTTTGGGGCTGTGAAGGGGTTTAGGGATTAGGGCTTAGGGTTTTGAGTTTACTGGTGTTTAGGGCTTCCTGGTGTTGAGGAATACTTTCTAGTTCCCGTCTCTCTCTCTCTCTCTCTCTCGCTCTCTCTCTCTCTCATATATACAAATTTACATATATATATATATATATGTATGTATATATCCCTGTGCAGCACAAAATATAGTGTTTCTGGCTCCCCAAAATTCAATAAGGAATAGGGGCTTGGGAATTTGAGTTTGTGTTCTTTGGGGAGCTTTGCGGGATTTCGGGTTTTGGAGGTAGGTTTGGGGTTTGTAAGGCATAGAACCCCTCCAGCAGTACCCTTATGCCCTTTTCGTTTTCCAGGTTCCTTATTAAACCTGAATAGTATGAAAAAGGTACCCTTATTACGGAGTCCCTGGGGAACCTAGACAAAGTTCCCATATTCATCACTACCTGGCTCCGCATGCCACTCGATGAGTGCCTCCGCACCTCTGAATTTCCCGTGGGGTTTAGGGTTTAAACCCTAAAGCCTAAACCCTGAACCCTAGGGCCGAATAAATCCCCAAGCTGAAGTGCTCAACTAAATCCCAGCCGACGCCCAGGTTCGGCATTTGATCCGAAATTTTGCGAGATCAAAGCCAGCGGCCTAGTCTCCGAAAGCACTAAGCAGTTCGGACCAGTGACTAGGCCCTTGTTCCTTTTTGTAAGGGTTTAGGTACCCTCACAAGCCCCTTTGAACCAAAAAGGGCACCCTTTTTATTCCTAGGTTACTCCGAACGGTTACTCCTAAGCCCGAAGCCCTTGTTCTTCCTAGCTTACCCTTGGGTCTAAACAGGATATGCGATGACAAGCCGCAAAGCCTCATATGGGGGTGTCCGAAATTAGGGGTACCCTTTTGGGTCCTTGTAAAGGAATCCATTGAGGATCCCTTATTTTCGGTAAACCCCCATCTCCTATAAATAGAGTCACACCAAGGGTGTTCAGTCAGGGCTTCGGGCTTGGGAGTTTTACGGTTTGGGGGCTCGTCATTGTCGACTGCAGGCGTGTAGGGTGGGCCACAGAGGTGTGCGATTGCCCCCCCCGCCTCCCGGCTCCGGCCCCCCCCCCCCCCCCCCCCACCCCCAGCCCCGAACCCCCCTAGCAATTGAGGGGTAAGGGGTTTAGGGTTTAGGGTTGCAATTAAAGGGTTAGGGGTTTAGGCTTTAGGGGTTCAGGCGCCCTCCAGGCTCGTCTTTTGCGATTCGAGGTTCAAGGATAGCAGGTGGACGGTATGTTGAGAACAGAAGGGACTTCTCGGGGGTCGGAATAATTAAGAATCGTCTTCCCTTAGATTCCCGTCATACTTATACTACAATAACCCCCCCCGCCTCCCAAAACCCTATTCTAATTTTTTCAGGCCCCCTAAATAAGGCTTCTTCGGACCAGCTGAGGACTTTCCGCAACCGGATGATCTTCATCCGCCCCTCGACGCAAGCTTTTGTGGAATTTTGGGTGGCTCTACGTCGCTGCCGGACGTCTAGGGGCTGGGGATTATGGGGTCTACTTCAACGTTCGGGTGCAGTAGGATTACAAGTACGCCAGATATTGTGTACCCACTTTTTCACAACCCAAAACCCAAACAAAATCCGTCCTCAAAGCGTGTTGTACTCAGGACCGCAGTGACGACGACCCTGGGCCCCAAAACCCAGCACTCACGCCCAGAATTTGGATGGTCAGTTCTCCATCATGATGGTGCTTTTGGGTGAATTACAAGATGGTCCCAGAAGGGGATCAGCATGTAGTGATGCTGAGTATGCGGGTGAGAAAGTGAGCGGTTGTTTTGAGTTTACCGAATCGCTGGGCCAACAAGTCGTCCGAAATCCGGAGCCAATGTGAAAGCTGATTTGGGGTTCAGGATTTGTTACATTTTAGGGGGTTTAGGGTTCAGGGTTTAGGGGATTTAGATTTAGGGGGTTTAGGGTTTAGGTGTTCAGGTTTAGGGTTCAGGGTTCAGGGTTTAGGGTTCAGGGTTTAGGGTTTAGGGTTTAGGGCTTAGGGTTTAGGGTTTAGGGTTCAGGGTTCAGGGTTCAGGGTTTAGGGTTTAGGGTTTAGGGTTTAAGGTTTAGGGCTTAGCCAGCCAGGGATGTGCGACGCTGTCATCCGTGAAGCGCCGCTGCACGTCTTCACCGTCCGGCACCCCAGCGGTACCCTCAAACCCAAAAAACCCTAAGCCCTAAACCCTAAACCCTAGCCCTAAACCCTAAAACCTAAACCCTGAACCCTAAATTCTGGGGTTGATTTTTGGATTTGGCTGCAAGGTTCTACAGGCAGGACCCAGATTATTTTGTAAAGGGGCCCCATTCCACACCAGCATTTGTGAGGGGTAAGGTTCCCTTGTGAACCACATTCGGGGCATAAAAGGGTAAAGTTGAACAGTCTCGCCCAATAAGATCCGCTCTTGGACCCTGGCCCCGAAAGTTTAGGGTTTGGTGTTTGGGATTCAGGGTTGCCTAGCGCTGATTTAGAACAGCCCTACCCCCCCCCCCCCCCCCCCCATTCATTTCCAAAGGCTTTTCTGTTTTCCTAGCTATCTGGGGGATGCGGGTTTGACTTTCGTTCGTATGTTCTGGGTTATGGTTTAGGGTGTGTAGGGTTTACAGTAAACTCCCAAAAGTTGGGACATCACTACCCTCATACCTCAAGAGGGATACTACAGGGATCCCGGCTCCAACTTTGCAGAGTTTACTGTAGGTTTAGGAGAGCGGATCACATTTAGTTTTCAGTATATGCTTTGGGTAAAACTGCATATCCATTGTTTCCAATAACCCGATCGTAAGAATTCCGGGTCATGGGTCTTAATATGCACACCATGTCGGAGATTGCTTTGCGTCGAATGAGGGTGGGGTGGGGGTTGTTGTAAAACAGGATCTTTTTCGGGTGGACCTATTCGAGTACGTACCCTGCCAACTGAAGGTGAGAACCCCCAAGAATCAGAATATTGTATAGCCGCAAAACCCTAAACCCTAAGCCCTAAACCCTAAACCCTAAGCCCTAAGCCCTACGTGACATGTTGAGCATCGTTCGTGCCCAGGAGCTCTTCATGACGCCGATGCTCCGGCTGTCCAACGATCCGGTGAAAAACGTGCGACTCTGTTGGGTCGGCTCCTCAGTCTAGGGTTTAGGGTTTAGGGTTTAGGGTTTCGGGTTTGCCCCTTTAAGCAAAAAAGGCACCCTTGCTTAATCTTAGGTTAGTGGACAAACGTGCGCTTTGTTGGGTCGACTCCTCAGTCCGCTTTTCTGGTTCGAGTGTCCTAGCAGGACCTAAACCACAAGCTAGGAGCCTCAGAAAGCTGAAGAGCTTCAGACTCAGGTGGTGACCCTTAAACCCTAGACCCCTAAACCCCTAAACCCCTAAACCCCTAAACCCCTAAACCCCTAAACCCCTAAACCCCTAAACCCCTAAACCCCTAAACCCCTAAACCCCTACAACCCTAAACCCTAAATCCTAAGCCCTAAACCCTAAACCCTATTCAGGTGGTGACGGTCCTGCCACACCTCCGAAAGGTGGGTCGCCTGGGTCGGATTCTGAGAGGAGATGCCCGGGCTTTGAAGCCTAAACCCCAGGGTTTAGGATTTAGGGTTTAGGGTTTAGGGTTGAGTGTTCAGGGTTTACGGTTTAGGGTTCAGGGTTTAGGGCTTCAGTAAGTCTTCTCAGTTGCCCTGCGCAGCGGGGAAGATACCTGTGGTTGCCACTCTATACTACCCACTTATGACCCGAACATACCCGAACATAAGTCGAATGTCAACTATTCCCCACACTCCACTCAACCCTACGCGCCCTTGTCATTTTGAACCCCAAACCCCCTAAACCCTAAACCCTAAACCCTAAACCCTAAACCCTGAACGGCTTGTCTTTTTCCGGCACTCATGGCAAGAAAGGGGGAGAGCATGCTCCCCAGGCAACACAAAGCCCTAAACCCCGAAGCCTCATGAACCCTGGAGCCCTGTAGCCCCAAGCCCTCAATCCTACAACCTTAAACCCCTTACTCCCTAAACCCTAAACCCTAAACCCTGGGCCCTGAACCCTAAACCCTAAACCCTTAACCCTAAACCCTAAACCTCCAAAAGGCCTGCCCTTGCAAACCTCGAGGGTTTTGCCCAAAGGCTTCTTGTCTCGCCCCACCATGCCGCTGCCATCCAACCTCCAGTGCATGGTCCAGGGGTTTAGGGTTTAGGGTTTAGGGTTGAGGGCCTAGGGGTTCGCAGGGGTTCAAGGATTTCAGGGTACGGGATTCGGGTTTTGGGGATGGTTTGGGGCTTCTAGCGTTTTGGGGATCTAGGAGTTAGGGCTGTTAGGAGTTTCAGGGTTTAGAGTTTCCAGGACGGTAGGGCTTAGATGTCCTATTCTATCGGGTTTCGGGTTCTTTGGGAGCTAGACCCTGAACCCTAAACCCTAAACCCTAAACCCTAAACCCCAAACCCGACACCAGGGCCTAATTCAGCCGCGGCCCATCCTCGCTTCGCCCGCATGCCGTTCGTGCGGGTGCGCGAGCGCTTCCTCTTTGTGCCGGACAGGGAGCTCCATCTTCTCTGCTGGATCCTGATAGATCTGCGCCAGCAACGGCCCGCGCACGCAGAAGTGTTTCTTAGGAGCCGAATGAGTTACACTTTACACTTTTTGGGATACTACAATCCGCCTAAAGAATTGAAAGTGTGCACTCTTTCGGGGGCTTATGAACCCAGCAACTAAGCTAAGCCCCAAACAACCCCCAAAAGCCCCAAAACCCTTAAGCCTAAAACCCCGAAATTCTAAAACCTGTTTAAACCCCTAATTTTTTTGGGGGGCTTATGAACTCAGCAACGAAGGTTTGCGGGCTTGGTGCATGACCTGGTGCTGCCGTTTCTGGCCTCCTGGCGGCAGCCCTGCGCTGCGCTCGCTGCTGGAGGTCACCACACCTGCGTGGTGACGAAGGACAGGGAGCCTAGGCAACATCCCAGATCCTATTTACTACCAATGCTTAAGAACTCCCAAGACATAAAGAATTATTCCTTATGAGGGCAATTTAGGGATTACTTTTTCTGGGGTTCTCAAGCACATAGTAGTTGAGGGTACATATGGCTTACATAGAGTTCTTGCCTTTGCTTGCCAGCCGAGGAACTGGTGTGCTTCGGGCACAATGACTTCGGCCAGTGCACCGTGCCCGCCAGCCTGGGTCCTGTGCTCGCAGTCGCGGCGGGGGCCGAGCACACCTGCGCCCTCTCGGCCGACGGCAAGGTCGTGTGTTCCTTGTTGGGCACGACGTGAGACCCTAAACCCTAAACCCTAAACCCTAAACCCTAAACCCTAAACCCTAAACCCTAAACCCCTCGACGATTTTTGGGGCCATTCCAGGGGGCCCATTAGGGGCTCCCCTCTTCTTGCGACTCCTTGTCTTCAAAGGGGGTTGTAGATAAGTATCAACTTTCTGACATTTTCATGTGCCCTGTGCTGCTGTGCATATATGTATGTGTGTGTATACACATATATTTATGCACACACACACACACACACAATCCCTCCGCTAAACGCCCCCCCCCCCCCCCCCACCCACCAAAAAACAAAAAAAACAGAGAAGGCCTGTTTGGAGGGCCTCCTTTTCACGCTCCCCCCCCCACCCCCCTCATAAAAAGGTTTTGGGAACAACGAGTTCGGCCAGTGCGACGTGCCTGCAGACCTGCGCCCGGTGGTGGCGGTGGCAGCCGGCGGTTCGCACACCTGTGCCCTGCAGAGGAGCCCCTGAAAAGGTGTACTTAAACTATAGCCCCCTTCGAAATTAGTTGGTGCTTTGGAGTAAAATTTCGAAGGGAATGTTAAGCAACTGTTTTTAAGGGGTTCTAAGCGGAGTGCCTTACAGAGGAGCCCTGAAAAGGTTTGCTTTAAGTCCTTGTCGGCGTCCAAGAGTTTGGGGCTTCCTGGGTTTTAGCCGCTCTAGCGCTTAGGGCTTTTTGGGGTAGATTCCTCAAGGCTTCTAGGATTTTTAGGGGCTATAGGGTTTAGGGTCTTTTTGGGGTAGTTTTTTCAAGCAAGGGGGGAGCTCTTGCGCGCCCTCGTTGTGCCTTGCGGAGGAACGGCGTCTTGGTCTGCTTCGGCCACAACGGCCTTGGGCAGTGCGATGTTCCTCTCGACATCGACCCGGTCGTGGCCGTCTCCGCAGGCCCTAAACCCTAAACCCTAAACCCTAAACCCTAAACCCTAAACCCTAAACCCATCTCCGCAGGGGGCGCCCACACGTGCGCGGTGACGGCGGCTGGCAAGCTCGTTGCTTTCGGAGACAACGACCGGGGCCAGGTGGGATACCGCAGCCTAAGCATCTATCAGTTTTATCCCCTTGCTAGCCCCTATATGTTGAGCATGTAATATCAAAACATGACCCTTTTTCTTTGCAGATGGACACTTTTTTTAGACCTGGACTTTTGGGACTAGAACATCAAACAGATCAACAACGAAAGACACGGAATAACCCTAAACCCTGAATCCTAACCTCTAAGCCCTGAACCCTAAGCCCTAAAATCCTTGAACCCTAATGTCTAAATCAACCCTAAGCCCTAAACCCTAAACCCTAAACCCTAAACCCTAAACCGAAGGTGGATGTGCCGCCGGAACTGGGCCCAGTGGCGGCCGTGGCTGCCGGAAGCCACCACACCTGCGCCTCTCACTCTGCGATTCAGGGTTTTAGGGTTTTAGGGTTTTAGGGTTTTAGGGTTTTAGGGTTTTAGGGTTTTAGGGTTCGAGGGTTTGAGGGTTTAGGGTTTAGGGTTTAGGGTTCAGGGTTCAGGGTTTTTAGGGTGTAGGGTTCAGGGTCACAGGGTTTAGGGTTTAGGGTTTGCGGGCCGCTCCCTCTCTCAGGTTTTTAGGGTTGGGGTCATAGGGTCTTTGGGGTTTTGGGGGTGAGATTTTTGGTGAGGTTTAAGGTGGAGGGCTTAGGCATTGGGGGGTGCATCAATGTTTGAGGGTCTAGGGTTCAGGGATTGGGGCGTTTCGGGTTCGAGGGTTTAGGATGTGGTCTGCATGATGTAGTGCTTCCGCGTGCTCGTGGGATGCACAAGAAGGGTCCCCTTAGCAGTGGCCCCCGAGCTCTAGTAGTTGGTCTTATGGAGCTTGAGGACCACCACCAAAAAATCTCTCTAGAAAGGGACCCTGAAACCTGCTACGCCGCATAACCCAGCCATGCCTGCGATCGGCTCTTTGACCTCGGAACCCACGAAAAAGCTCCTACGGAACCCTATGGGTCCCCAAGAGTCCCTGACTTTGCTGTTTTGGGCTTAGGGCTTAGGAACAATGAGTCCTAAACCCTATAAATCCTAAACCCGAAGCCCTAAACCCTAAACCCTAAACCCTAAACCCTTAACCCTAAACCCTAAACCCTAAACCCTAAACCCTAAATTCTGTGATACCCTTGAAGACCCACTGGGACAGACTTCAGGCTATTACGGCAGTTGGGGAGTTGGTCTGCTTCTGGGCTGCTGATATGGATGAAGATGTTTAGGGTTTAGGGTTTAGGGTTTAGGGTTTAGGGTTTAGGGTTTAGGGTTTAGGGTTTAGGGTTTAGGGTTTAGGGTTTCGGGGTGTAAGGGCGTTAGAATTTTTGGGTTGCGGGCTTCGGGTTTTGGATTTTTGGGTTTGGGGTTTGAGGTTCAGGGACACCATGCCATTTTACCATGTTTCTCAGTCTACCCGTTTAGTTCAAGACAGCTCCTTACTGCAACAGGCGCACCGTAACAAGAAAGCCATGCTAGCTTGTTGTTCTCCACGTATTCTACACCCTAAACACGGCTAACTTTGGGCTTCGGGTTGCCAGAGTACGGCAATCTCACACAATGTTTGACCACTCCGTATGAGTGTTCTCCCAACGTAGGGCCGGCCGCTGCTGTGCAGCCGCACAGACGAGAATCCTTTAGAATGACCGCGCCTTCAAAAAGCAATACCCCTAGACCCTAAACCCCAAGCCAGAAACCTTAAACCCCAGACCCCAAACCCTAAACCCCAAACCCCAAACCCTAAACCCTAAACCCTAAACCCTAAACCCCAAACCCCAAACCCTAAACCCTAAACCCTAAACCCTAAACCCTAAACCCTAAACCCCAAACCCCAAACCCCAAAGCCCTGCTCTTCATATCCCCGACCTTGTCAGCCCAGGCTTCGGCGGCAACGTCCTCGGCCAGTGCGACGTGCCTCCGAACCTGGGCCCCGTCAGGGCAGTGGCGGCAAGGCTCGGGTCTACGGTTCATTAGGGTTTAGGGTTTAGGGTTCATAGGGTTTGGGGTTTAGGTTTAGGGTTTAGGGTTTTGGGTTTTGGGTTTTGGGTTTTGGGTTTTGGGTTTTGGGTTTGTAGGGTTTGTAGGGTTTATAGGGTTTATAGGGTTTATAGGGTTTATAGGGTTTATAGGGTTTATAGGGTTTTTAGGGTTGGTTTATAGGGTTTAGGGCTTAGGGTTTAGGATTCAGGGTTTATAGGGTTTTACCCCCAACCCTGAGCCCTAAACCCCACAAGCCCCGATAAACCCTACAGACCCCAGAAGCCCCTACAGACCCCGTACGCAGCCTCTATAGACCCTGTAGCCCTAAACCCTAAACCCCTAAGCCCTTGAACCCAACTTTTGGGTTCACGGTTTAGGGTCTAGGTTCCCTGGGCTGCAAGGCTTCTCTACACCTGCGTCGTGACGATCACGGGAGAGCTGGTCTGCTTTGGCTGCATCGACTTCGAGGCTATCGTTGCGGGTTTTTGGGCTTATGGTTTGGGGCTTAGCAAAATCAAGAAGCGCCAATTTCTCTTACTGCCTGCTTCAAGGGGTGCGCTTTGGGAAGGAGGCTCAATAAAGAGACCTCTTGATAAGTAACTTTGAATGGGATCTTAACCCCAAACCCTCAACCCTAAACCCTCAACCTTAAACCCTCAACCCTCAACCCTCAACCCTCAACCCTCAACCCTCAACCCTCAACCCTCAACCCTCAACCCTAAACCCTAAACCCTAAACCCTAAACCCTACAGGAGATCCACCAGCCTCCCGGCCTTCATGCTGTGGTGGCCGTGGCGGCGGGCACTTGCCACGCCTGCGCGGCCAAGGAGACGGGCGAGGCCCGCTGCAGTACTAAACCCTAAACCCTAAACCCTAAATCCTAAACCCTAAACCCGACACCCGACCCAAAATGTTGAGGGTTAGGGTTTCGGGTTCCTGGTTTAGGGTTTAGGGTTTAGGCCTAAGGGTTGACCCCAAACCCGAACCCAAGCCTAATTTCCTCCCACTTTCCGCCTATCATTTGCACTCGCCGTTGTTGATATTTTGATGTTAGCAAGGCGGGTGAGTACGTTGCCCAGCAAGTTCCGAAATGCCGCGCCCCGAGCCCTAAAACCCTAAACCCTGAACCAGACCCGAAGCTGAGCCCACTACCAACACCCCTAAACCCTAAACCCTAAACCCTAAACCTTATAAGCACTTACTGATAACGGTATAATGAACTAGGCTGCCCTTATAGCTGCTCCGTCCCTAAACCTCAAAACCCCGCGGCCCGCAACTACCCTCTCTTTATTCCTCAATACGTGCTATTGGGAGCTCTAGAATCCCTATGAAGAGGAGTTGAGCCTAGAGTGAAGCCCCGATTCCTACGCAGGCTCTTGGGACCTCTTATATATCCCTTTTTGGGTATACGCGGATCATATTCAGGAACATTTTGCAGAGGGTTTTTCAGGCCCGTCCTCGATTCTGAACTCTTTTCCCTGAGAGATTTTTCTTGGCGACAGGTGGTATGTTTTGGGCACAACGACCTCGGCCAATGTGCGGTTCCCACTGGTCTCCTGGTGCCTTGGGGGCGTTGGGGAGCACTAAACCTAAACCCCCAAACCCCTAAACCCCTAAACCCCTAAACCCCTAAAACCCCTAAACCCCTAAACCCCTAAACCCCTAAACCCCTAAACCCCTAAACCCCTAAACCCCTAAACCCCTAAACCCCAAACCCCCAAACCCTTAAACCCCTAAACCCCTAAACCCCCAGACCCCGAGCCTGGCTACCTGAACAGCTTAAACCCTAGACCCTACACCCGAAGGCTCCATAAAGCCTGAAGCTGGGGTTCTTAGGGTTTAGGGTTTAGGGTTTAGTCTTTAACCTTGTCAACCCATAGACAGTTGAAGTTTCTTCGGGCCACCCAAGGCACCCTAAACCCTCCAAGACCTTATAGACCCCTGCAAACCCGGAAAAACCCTGAAAAACCCTAGAAGCTCTAAGAGCCATGAAAACCCTAAAATTAACAGCCCTACAAAAACTAGTAAGAAATCCCTGAACAGCCCGAAGAGCCCTAAAAACCCTTAAGCCCCTAAAGCCTCAACCCCTGAAGCCTCAAACCCTAAACCCCAAACCCGAAACCCGAAACCCGAAACCCGAAACCCTAAACCCTAAACCCTAAACCCTAAACCCTAAACCCTAAACCCTAAACCCTAAACCCTAAACCCTAAACCCGCCAGGTGGCCACCGCAGGCTCCTTGAGACGTGGAGATTGAGGTGTTGGAGAGCTTGGGGCGCGGAATCGAGGCGATTGGGAACCCGGGTTTAGGGTTTAGGGTTTAGGGTTTAGGGTTTAGGGTTTAGGGTTTAGGGTTTAGGGTTTAGGGTTTTTAGTTTAGGGTCTAGGGTTCAGGAAATTTAGGGTTCCTAGGGTTTAGGGCGTTTAGGGGGTTTAGGCGGGGCGCCTTTCTTGAGAAGGTTAAAGGGGCTTGCTGAGGGGGAAGATCTGAGTCTTACCCCAAGGGTCCATGTACCTAAATTCGGAGTATATACGGAGTACTTGGGCCTTCAAGTATTTCCTTTGCAAGGACTTTGGGGCTTAAGTACATCATAATGAGGTACATGCTAAACCCTAAACCCTAAACCCTAAACCCTAAACCCCTAGGGTTATACGTCGCGAGTCAGGCCTTGCCTCTTGCCGGCGGAGACTGAGTGAGCCAGAGTGTCCAAGCGACCCAAAGTTTAGGGCTTAGGGCTTAGGGTTTCGGGTTTAGGGTTTAGGGTTTCGGGTTTAGGGTTTAGGGTAAGCTCTAAGACCCTGAACACTGAGCCTCGAAAACCCTCACTCAACCCTGAGCCCCATGCTTTTGAGGTTGGTGGGCTCGGCGACAATGTTAGGAGTCAACAACGAAGGTAGTGTAGGCTCAGCCGCAACCACAAATATTGGGTGCTTGGATTTCGCTGGGTGATCACCATATGGAGGGGGGGGCACCCTCCTCAGAAGCAGGCCCGTACCTTAAGACCCCCGAAAGCTATACTCTCTTTTTTTGCCGGTTGTTTGCATAAAAGCCCTTGAAAGATTCTTAGCCGGCAGACCCCCAACCGAACCGAACCTTATGCCTGGCGCTTTGTGGATTAGGGTTTAGGGCTGTGCATGCTGCGGAGTGTAGTTTCTTCTCCCCCGTGCCTGGGGGCAGCGCCTTGGTAACAGACTGGAAGACCCTATATACGCCCTACTTGGAGGACCGGGGGCCTTCAGTATCGTATCTAAGGGTTTGGGGTTTGGTCGGTTTAGGGAGGTTTCCGTGGAGTTATAGGGCTACTGAGTAGGCAGCCCCAACAAGGGTCCCTGTGTTCGGGTACTAAACCCTAACCCCGAAACCCCAATCCCTTGGAGTTCTCATGTTGTTCCCATGAACAGGGGAACTAGGGGCCTGAGGAGTTCACCTACAGAACGCTTTAAGGGAATATGTGGTCAGTTCTCTAAAATCTGGTCCCTTGCCGGATTCCCTAAATCTAAGGCGCCGCCTTGTAACAGTAACCCCAAGAAGGGGACGCTAATTCCGAGACTCCCCTCATGTAGGGTAGCTAACGAATGCCTCCTTCCCGACTAAGAGCCTCAAGCCCTGGAAATGCAAAGCCTGAACGCGAACCCCCAATTCCCACAAGACCTTAAAACCCTGGAACCTCAGAAACCCTAACATGTTTAACCCTGAAGCCCTAAACCCTAAATCCTCTAAACCCTAAACTAAACCCTAACGCCCAGACCCCCTAAACCCTAGACCCTAGACCCCAGACCCTACACACGAAGACACACTGACATCCTCAAGATTTGGGGCGCGGCCTCGGGTCCCAGAATTCGGAGCGACTGCTTCGGGTCTACCTGGAGGATCGGGGGGGACTTAGTAAGTAGGGCTTACAGGGTTTGGGGGGTTTGGGGTCTGGGGTTTTGGGTCTAGGGTGTAGGGTTGAGGGCTTATTGTTTAGGGCACAAAGTAGGTTAGAAGTGCCCGAAAAGCAAACCTAGTTGCGCTTTTCCTACTTAAACAGCAAATATCTGCCTCCCAAGACCCCCGATGCTCCAAAGTGAGCTCCGGTCAGACTGCGGTCCTTGTGGTTTAATTTTAGGGTCTAGGGTTTAGGGTTTAGGGCTTCAGAAAAAAAGGTTCAGGGTTTAGGGTTTGGTGTTTGGGGTTTAGAATTTAGGGTTTAGGCCTCATCTGGCACGCAGCTTGAAGTTTTTGCTTGGAAGAGTGGGCGCGACTTGCGGAAACGCACCGAAGCCCCGAAGCCCGCTGGTAGGGTTGAGGGTTGAGGGTTGAGGGTTTAGGGCTTACGGCACTTCTGTTTCGAGCTTGGCCACAAACTAGAGCGGCTAAGGCCTATTAAGAACACCCCCCCATACCTCCCAAGGCCATGGGAAATCCTGAGCCTTGAATGCGGGAGTTTACGAAATAAGATACCCTTAACATAAACCCCAAAATAATTATCAGGATTCCCTGATAATGCGGACCCCAATAAAGTACCACTAATTTCGGAAACCGTCAAGGTGCTTCAAAGAAGATGCCATGTTGATCAGACGGGGGGGACGGGTTTGGGGCTTAAGGTTTAAGTTTAGGGTTTAGGAGGAATTAAGACATGCACCCCCCCTCATTGGACCCCCAAAACCCTGACAGCGGACTCTTTGAATCGCCGTGGCGGGCCGCCTCATGAGGTGACCTGCGCCACACCCCGAATTGCCCGCAGGCAAGCTTGTGAAGAGCTGCCCCTATCGGGCCGCGAGCCCTCCCGAGCCCACCGACGAGGGTTTAGGGTTTAGCGTTAAGGGTGCAGAACCTTATAAGCCCTAGACCCTAAACCCCGCAACCCTGAACCCTAATCCAAGTAACGTCGACTCGAAACACTGCACAAGCCCAAATGTGTTCGAACATTTTTTGGGGGTATTTCCTGAAAGCCTTCAGCAAACAAGAAAAGGGGCCAAACATCAATTCCTCAACACCCCCTGACCTTTTTCTTATGCCCTAAGCCCTAAACCCTAAACCCTAAACCCTAAACCCTAAACCCTAAACCCTAAACCCTACAACCCGACACCCGGCACCTTGACCCTGCAAGGTTTAGAGCTGTGTTGCGAGTGCGAGGGCTGAGGGGCATGAGGGGCATGAGGGGGACTTTCATGCGGAAAGGGGGCTCAGAGCTTTGGGTTTTGGGATCTTGTTGTTTTGTGTGGACGACTAGTTGTTTTTGTTGGGGGGGGAAGTCTTAACCTAGAGTAGGGTTTTAGGGTGTCAGGGTTTGAGGGCGTAATCCTAAACGATCAGAATCCTAAGCGGCCATAACCACTTCCTAAATGTCAGGGTTCGAGGGCTTATCTGGCTGAGACATTGGAGACGCCTCCTTTGGAGCAAAAAGGCGCCCGAAGAGGGGCTTCAGGGTTTCAGGGCTTGTCGCAGGGTTTCGGGTTTTCGGGTTTTGGGTATATGTAGGGTTTAGGGAGGGTTTAGGGTTTAGGGCTTGGGGCTTAGGGCGGAGGGCTTCTCAGGGATAAATGTGTTGCCGGGGTATAGGGCCGGCAGAGGGTGGAAACTCGAGTGTAATCTTCAAACCCTGAGCCTATCCTTAATAAACCTTAAAACCCTAAACCTTGAAGCGCCAGACCCCACGAACCATTGGCCATGGGCGGAACCTTTTGCGGATCCTTTTTGACGAATTCCTTGGGGAACATTTGGGGCTGCAGGGAGTATGTTCAGAGTTTAGGGTTCAGGGTTTAGGGTTGACAGCTGTAGGTCAACTTGGGATCGCTGGCTCAGTCAGAAGTGCAGAACTGCAAGGGAAGAGAGAGAGAGAGAGAGATATATATATATATATATGGATGAGGCCCAAGCATGCGGAAGAGAAGAAGCAGAAGGGTTTAGGGTATAGGGTTTAGGAAGAAGAAGAAGAAGAAGAAGAAGAAGAAGCAGAAGAAGAAGAGAGAGTGGGGAGTCTGCAAACGACAGGCTTTCAATCCTAAGCCCACCCAGTGCAGGACCTGAACCCTGACCCCTAAACCAAAGTCGGAGCTTGGATTGTTTTTTCGATTTTCCTTATTGGGTTCTGAGAGTCATTTGGGAATACTGTCTTGAGACCTTCATATTGTTTGAAGTTTGAGAACCTGCTCAACGAAAACCCCCCAAACCCTGCCCGGGTCGCCAAATACTAGCGAGGGAACGAACTCCTAAACCCCAAACCCCACACCCTAAACCCCAAACCCTAAACCCCCAACCCTAAACCCTAAAGACCTAAACCCCGACATCTTCAAGGCCAGCAGGGCCCCGTCCTGGCCGCTGCCGCGCGCCTGCGGCAGGCCGTCCACGACGCCGAGGCGTACTTCTTTAAGATCTTCGGGTCCAGTTTTGGGGTTTAGGGTTTAGGGGTTTAGGGTCTAGGGTTTAGGGGTTTAGGGTCTAGGGTTTAGGGGTTTGGGGTTTAGGGTTTAGGGCTTAGAGTTTAGGGCGGGTCTATGGGGCTTAGGATTTCGGGTTTAGAGGTTTAGGGTTTCGGGTTAACCCTGAAAGCCCAGACCAAAGCCCTCAACCCTCTGCCGATCCTTATGGGGTTAGCGATTCTTCACGTCGAATAACCCTAAACCCTAAGCCCTAAACCCGAAACCCTAAACCCTAAAGCCTAAGCCCTAAACCCTAAACCCTAAACCTGGACTCAGAGAACTTACTAGCTAGTGGTTGTGGTGAATCTCGCAGAATACGTACGTGGGGTATCCTGTCCAAGGCCATTGAAGGCGATGATAAGCAGGATTCGAGTATCACCTAAACCCTAAGCCCTGGGCCCTGAACCCTGAACCCTCCCTTAAGACGCCTATAACATCTGTCAATTTAAGTCGCAACCCCCTAAGCCCTAAAAACCCGAAGGCCCTTCTACGCGAAGCTCTAAAGCCTTCCTGCAACTCTGAACTCTCAGCCCTTGAACCGATGAACCTTCAAACCTTCAAGGGTGTAGGGTTTAGGGTGTCGGGTTTCGGGTTTAGGGTCTCCCTTGGAGCCGTTGTGATTTCGGGATCCTGCGGAGTGTGGGAGCTTTGGCGAGATCCCTGAATCTCTAATCCCTGAATCCCGAAACCCAAAATCCTTCAACCCTGAATCCCTAAACCCCGAATCCCTAAACCCTATATCCCTAATCCCTGAGTCCCTAAATCCTAAATCCCTAAACCCTGAATCCCTAAATCCTAAACAACCCCAGAGTCGCGTAATTGAGCTCCAGAAGAGGCCAAGGTTTCCCAAAA